TCAGCAAGGTGGGGGTGCGAGGCCAGGGGAGGATCCCCCCCACCGACCTCCCCCGCAGCTTCCCAGACTCAGCCTCTGAGAGTGATGGCCGAGAGCCAGGGCCGCTGGACAGGCAGGGCGGGAGGTGGCCAGGCGGCTGGCAGCAGGCGGCCAGCTGCCACAGCCGTGCCAGGCTCTGTCACTGACTGATTAACTCCGCTGTCTCCCAGACCCTTGCAGCATCAGGGTCAAACAAATTGTTTTCACGCTTCGTCAGAGGTTTACTTAATTAGTTCATTTGCAATTAGATCTCTCTGTAGCTGGGATTTTAGCAAAGACATCAAAGAGGGCTGATGAGAAGAAGGTTTCCTCGTTGCCCCATCTTTTTCCCACCTCTTTGTACCTCTTGGTCTGTCTGCTTTGCAGGCTGTGGGCGGGATCAGAGGAGGGGTTGGAGGGTGGTGGCCGCAGGAAAACCAACTTTCTCTCCCCTCCGCCCCCTGGAAGACACCTCAACACAGAGCACGCCCTGGATGACCGGAGCACAGCCCAGTGCCGGGTACAGATGCAGGTGGTGCAACAGCTGGAGATCCAGGTGTGACCCCAGGACGGGGGAGGGCCTGCGGGGGTCTCGTGCGAGGGTGATCTTAGCCCGTCACTAGATCTTAGATCCTGGTCACTGAGGGTGTGAGGCCAGGACAGTTGGATGCTGAGGCGTGACCAAGAGTGGGGCCGTCTCTGCTGGGAGCAAAAATCATCTTAGCAGCTACGCAGCAAGCACTTTGTGCTGTATTCAGTGCTTTATATAACAGGGAATCTCTAAACAGTCTTACATGGTGAATACTGTCGTTAATCCCCACTTTACAGATTTAGAAAACAGAGGCACAGAGGGGTGAAGTGAAGCCCCCCCCCCGCCCCCGTCGTACAGCTTGTGGGTGGCAGAGCTGGGGTTACAGCCAGGCAGTCTGGCTCCCGCACCTGAGCTGGATAGCGCAGGGTATTCAGGTCTCCCGGACTGTCCGTCAGGCGGTCAGGCAGCATCTAGCACTGTGCCCTGCCTGCGAGGGCAGTTGTGAAAGAGCGATTGAATTTCTGAATGGGAGCAAATGGATCCTTCCTCCGCCTCAGAGTCTCCCTTCAGTAGGAAGACCCCCTCACACACACAGGCTGCTGAACTGGGTATTGTTCAGACACAGCCTCTGCCCTCTCTGGGGAGAAAGGAGCCCCAAATTAAAGTAGCTGTGATGAGCTCGAGGCTGGGACAATCTGGAGCAGAATCCCAGAGAATTTCAGTAAGGCAGGGTCCCTGGGGCCTGAGGGACAAGCTAGAGCCGAGGCCTTCCGAGAACATGGACAGAGGGAGTCAGCCTGTGAGTTATGGCGGGAATAGAGGCTTCCTGGGGACTTGGAGGGGCGGGGGGGGGGGGGGGGTGGGGGAGAGGGTGATGTGGAGGAGGCAGAAGATGCTCACTCCCGGCTCTCCACAGCTCGCGAAGGAGAGTGAGAGGCTGCAGGCCATGATGGCTCATCTGCACATGCGGCCCTCTGAGCCCAAGCCCTTCAGCCAGCCGGTGAGTAACTGCCCCGCCAGCCCCCGCAGCTCCCCCACAATTCCCTGGACCCTCAGGACCCCCATCCTTGGGGGCTGGTCTCAGCACCCTCCCCACTGCTCACAGCTCAATCTGATCCCTTGCTCCTTCGCACTCTCCCAGGTGACCATCTCTGCAGCAGACTCATTCCCGGATGGCCTGGTGCACCCCCCCACCTCAGCTGCTGCCCCCGTCACCCCCCTCCGACCCCCAGGCCTTGGCTCTGCCTCCCTGCACAGTGGGGGCCCTGCCCGCAGGAGGAGCAGTGACAAATTCTGCTCCCCCATCTCCTCAGGTAAGGGCCGCAGGGAGGGGCATGTTTTCCCTCCTCCCCCCACCCCGCCATTCTGACTATCTGATCCTCTGCCTGTCTCCCTTAGAGCTGGCCCAGAATCATGAGTTCTACAAGAACGCTGATGTCAGGCCCCCCTTCACCTACGCCTCCCTCATCCGCCAGGTGAGCACAGGTGGGTGGGTGGGGGCTGCTGGGGCCAGAGTGGTGCATCCCGCACACCTGTCCTCGCCAGCACCCACGTGCGTCTCCTCCTCGGAGATGAGGCCTCCCCCACAGACTCCAGCTCGGTCAGCCCACTGACCACTCGGACGTGTCTCTGGGGACACGCTATTTTTTGCTGCTCACACCCACTGTGACATTCATTTTCTCATCCCTGTTACCCACACTCCCATGAAACTATTTTCTGATAGACTGTGTCCTTCCTTCGTCAGCCTCCTCCTACCTCTCCCTCCCACCCAACAGCCTCCTCTGTTCCTACCCGTGTGTCCATAATCCTGTCCCTAATGCCCGTGTCACGCTCATGCTCACATGAGCTGCACTCACACACTCCTCTCTGACAGACGTGTGCTCTTCCGATCTCACAATACACACATGCTCACGCTCACTTATACTCCCCATGCATACTGAGGCCCTTTGCAGAATCAGCATAAATTCCAGCAGACCCTGGACTTGTCTCCCCAAAGCTACTGCTTTTCTTCCTACTATAGGGTGGGGCACTAAAGCCACTTTCTCTCCAGAAGACGACATGTGCTGCCTACTCACGAGTAGCCTTTGAGGCGTGGTGTCATCTGCCCTCAGGGGAGAGAGATCCTGGCAGAGAGAGCACAGGCCTGTGAACTTCAAGGTCCATACTGAAGGACTCTTTGCTTCTTCCCTGCCCACAGGCCATTCTGGAAACCCCTGACAGGCAGCTGACCCTGAATGAGATCTATAACTGGTTCACCAGGATGTTCGCTTATTTCCGGAGAAACACTGCCACCTGGAAGGTGAGGCGTACCCCTTCTACCTGGTCCAGGGCCCCAGTCACCCTGGGAGACCAAACTGCCTAACAGTCCCCCTGGAGAGGCTCCGCTGGGTGCAGTTGTGTACAAGTGGCCCCACCACGGCCTAGGCTGGGTCATGGACCCCTCCACCCCCACTTCACAGGGGCTGTGGGATGTCCACTACCCATCTTCCAATGGCCTCTTCCCTCTAGCCTCGTGCTGTCCTCTTTCTGGAAAGAAACGCTACTCTTCAGAGGGGTGCTTCCCCATGGACCCCAAAGGCTCCAGCCTCCTGCAGTAGGGTCTCCTGCAGTCGGTATGCCAGAGCCAGGAGGGAAGCGGGGTCACATTCACAGGAGACCCCAAGGGTCCAGGTATCTGGGCTCAAGAATGTCCCGAAGTTGGGGGTAGACCTGCAGATGGACGAGATCATCGACTAGACACGGGAACAAACAGGCACTCTCTCTCCCCAGCTCTGCCATCGGCGACAGGCAGTTAATTGTCTCCATCCAATTAGTCATTTCCAACACCTTCAGCCACACGAGTTTTCCTAGGGGACCAGAGGCAGGCAAGGGAGGGACACTAGGAAAATGGAACACGGAGATGTGGGCTGGGACACTAGACCATTTTTTTATTATAGCAAAGATAGTGTGCGAAAGAGAAAGCAATTGGTGAAAATATGAGGGTCTGTGCAGCAGGATAGGAAGAGATACCTGTATGGGTGGGGTAGAAGGAAGTTGGGAGGTTATTCCCAGGAGTCCCTAGCACAGACCTGCACTAGATCCCTGGCTCTTGAGTCCCCCTGCTGGTTCAGTGAAGAATCTGCATCTAGACAGACCATCCTCAGCTCTGCCACCACCACCACCAAATCCAAATCCCACCAGGTTTCAACAAGTGTTGCTAAGGTGCCCTCCCCACCCGTGCCTGGTGCTGGGTGGGATCTGCCCAGGCTTTTCTGCACCAGGGGTACACTTAGTGCAGAGGAGGCACTACTCCATGACCTTCCGTAGCTCCAAACCCAATTACCAAAGCTTGGAAGAGGCTGCCCGCCCGGGACACTCGCTCTGATTGGCTGTGAGTGATGTCATTCCCTGCCAATCACAGTCCCGAACACTTTGTGAGACATGGCCACTGAGTCCCGGCTCCAGCCTCTAGGCCGGTTCAGTTCCCATAAATGAGAAGGGTCCTATACAAACACGAGGGATCATTATGCTTATTATGCAGTGCTTCTTTAATGTCGTGGATTAATCCCCTGCCTATAGGGGTAACCCCACAGAGCGTCCGTAAGATCGCCTTCCCCTCTGGGGCAGAGTCCACTCCAGCCGCCTTTCCTGCTCTCCTGATTGTCCCACCCGCTGTAACTTTGCTCGTCGCTCTTCCTGAGATCAGGGAGAACTGGCTTAGGGGCCTTCCTACCCTCTTGGCCTCTGTACCACCTTTGGTCACCCAGCAGCCTTGGTCATCTCAGGGACAGGCCCCTGCCAGGCTGCACCTCCACACTCCTCACTTAGAATAGGCACAAGAAGCCACGGTGGCAGACGGTGTGGGTGACCTTCCTTGGTGGCGGTGCTTTGCTGCTGCTGTTTCTGCCACTTAAGGTCACTGCCTGTGCCCTCCGCGAGCCTGAGACCAACGTCAGCCTCTAGGATCTTGCAGCCAAGCTTCCTACGTGTTGCTCGGGAAACGTACCCCATGTCCACCCTGTCCACACCCCTTCCGACCTGCTGCCTACCCACGTATCTGCCCCTTGAGGTCCTTCTCTGCTCCCCTGGTTCAGCTCCCCTCACTCCCTTCCTCTTCACCCTCTCTGGCCCCGTCCTGAGCTGCAGTCCACTTCAGACCAGGGCAGAAGGGTCGGGAGCCAGCGTGGGCAGGCCAGCTGCTGTTCATCCGGGACAGAGTTGCCATCTGCCAAGCCGATGGTCCTCGCCAGCCGTCCCCTGTGTCCGTCCCCTCCCAGGGCACATGTTGTGGGCCAGTCCTTTTGTTTATGCAGCCCCCTCCAGACCCCTTAAATTGCCGTTAATGTTTCAGCGTAACGAATTAGTCTCTCATCACGAATCAGGCTTCGAAATGAGGGAAAAAAGCCCCGGTGAGGCCATCCTCGGAAATTGGGGTCATTCTCATTTGCAAAGCGGAGGATCGGAGCCCCGTAATGCGGGCAAATTTATTCCGAGGCAGGAGCCCCGGCGTGATTAGGCCCTTTGTAATTATCGCTCCAAGAGATTCCACTCCAGCCGCCCGCCTCCCTCGTGGATTAGCAAGCGAGTCGGAAAAATACACAGGATTTAATTAGAGGCAAATTAAAATTGGTAATGAAATCGGGCCAGTTGCAAGTGGCAAGAGTTGGAAGGGAGAGAGGGAGAGGGGATCTCCAGGGGCACGGGCTGCCCGCCCTGCCTGCTTTCTTCCCCGTTTAGAAATGTAAAGAGGAGACAAGGATGGGGTGGGGAGCGGGGAGGCTGAGGGAGGACAGGTAACAGGGACAGGGACAGCTAGGGGCTGGGAACACGGGGAGGGAAGCTGAGAGAGGAGAGTACAGGGACAGGACTGAGGGGCAAGTGGGAGGTGGAGGAGAGCCCAAGTCCGGGCTCCCAGGAGGGGAGCCAGGCCAAGCACCCCACCCTCACCGAGTGTCCTATAAACCACATGACCTCAATTCCTGAAGTTACCCTGCGGGAGGGGCGGGAGTGACAAGGTGACATTTCCTCTCCTCTTCTCGCCTGGCAGCCACTCAGCCCACATTTCTCCTGGCTCCTTTCTTCCAGCAAGTACGTATTAGGCCTCTACTGTATACTCTCTGAGCGAGCTGTGTGCTCCGAGCCACAGCTCCCACACTCCTAGGGGGTGTCGGCAGGTTGCCGTGAGGGTTCGTGAACTATTCCCAAAACTTCTCAAAGCTTCTTGGGAAAACTGTGATCACCTGAGATGCGGGATCAGAGACAGAGGTGCCAGGGCTTGCCCGTCATCTCCCGCTGATCAGAAACCCCGAGTAGTAACTACACACGTCTTTGATTCGTGGTGATGGAAAACATTATCTGTTCACTCATAGACGGCATTGTCCAACCGTGGCAGGAGAGGGGGTTAGATGGTGGGTGGCTGTGGGGTGGCAGAAGGCGCTGGCAGCCAGCCCCAAGGTCAGGACAGCGCTGTCCTCCTAGGCTGGGTGACTGGCCTGCCCAGGGCCAGGGCCGGCGGGACACGGACCTTCCCTTGCACTAGCTCTGAGCATCTGCCTTCACCCTCTACCCGCAGAACGCCGTGCGGCACAACCTCAGCTTGCACAAGTGCTTTGTGCGTGTGGAGAATGTCAAGGGCGCCGTGTGGACGGTGGACGAACGGGAGTATCAGAAGCGGAGACCGCCAAAGATGACGGGGTATGCAGGCCCAGACCCGGCAGGGCGACGCCCAGCGTGGCCAGGCGGGGTGCATTCTGCAGGCACCCAGGAAGCCCTGGCACCAGATCCTCTCACTTTGGGGGTTGAGTCGGGAGAACGGGACAGGGGAGCCCAGGGGAGACTGGCATCTGGAAGTGACATATGACCAGCAGATGGACATTTTTGTCTTGATCTGCCCTTACCTCGGACTGAGGGAAGTGACAGCAGGACCTGGCCACAGAGACAGATGCCCAGAGTCGCCTGGCCAGGGACGACACACCGGTCTGTGACAGTCAAGGGGGCAAGTTTCCCCTTCTAGCACCAGCAGCCTTTCCCCACGCCGGACATCCCTCACAGGCTGCCATCCTTGTTTGTGCCTTCTGGGTCAGAGGCCCTTGGGGAGGGCAGGGGAAGTCTGCAGCAACACAGCTCTCTGGGCTACACTTCTTCCAGGACAAAAGCCTGTGCATCCCCAGAGAATTGTGGGGTTGGAAGAGGGATGGGCTCTGGAAAAAGGAAGGCAGTTCATCTGAGCATGCCAGTCTCAGAGCTTGGTGTCTTCAGACCCACAGTCAACTTGGGATCAGAAGCCCTGTCCTCCTCAACAGCTGTGTGGCCTTGGGCCAAGTCCTCAGCCTCTCTGAGATGTTCTTAGTCACTGTGGAAGAGGGACAGCTTCAGCCTTTGCCTTTTCTCAGCCAGCTCCTGCTTCTGTGTAGAAAAGCCTCTGTATGGAGCATGTTGGCACAGGCTGGACAAAAAGTTTGAGACACCCCCCAAAGTCAAGATGGGGAAAGTGTGAAGAAGAAAGTTCTGGGACCATCAAGGCTCTATAGCTCAGACTCTGCCACACACTGGGAAAACCTAGGCCAGTGAGAGAAGTGTGGGTTCGGCCTGACATGGAGACACTTGGGGGTCCTAGCTCCTTCTCTCCAACCCTGAGCACTAGACAGGACAGAGCCCCTGCCAGCCTCAGGCCTTCTGGAAGAGGCCCGGGCACCGTGAACATGGAACACGCACAAGGGCATAAGACTCAGCAGGCAGTAGACAGTCTTCTGGCCTCCCCCAGAAAATGAAGGGGACAGTCCCTGGCATGGAAGGGGCCTTTGGGCAGGACACCAGTGACGAGTGCGTGATGAATGGACCAATCACTGCCTTCTCTCTCCCCCAGAAGCCCCACCCTGGTGAAGAACATGATCTCGGGCCTCAGCTACGGAGCACTTAATGCCAGCTACCAGGTGACCGGGCCCCACACACCGCTCCCCTCTACCTCTAGCACACCCTGACCTATAGAAGAGACCTTCCCACCTGCCCCTGCAGAGGGCCCTCCTGTGGGAAGAGGGGAAGATGGGAAACAGGGTGAAGACCACTCTAGGTGCCAGCATCCCAGCCCTCTGACATGCTCCACTCGGGGCCCAGGGCCCGGCCCCCACCTCCCGTTTCAAGGCTGGTGGGACAGGGCGGACAGCCAGGAGACGGACAGAACTTCCAGGGCCCCTCTCGGTAGGGGTCCTCTGTCTCCTGGGGGAGGGGATAAGTGATGCCCAGGTTACCAGGAAAGCTGGCAGCCTGGTGGTAAGAGGCAGGCCCTGGCCTCGGGAAGGGTGCTGTGTACAAGGCTGAGTCTGGGTAGGGTGGCCAAGACCAGTGTTGGGGGCTGCACACACACTGGACCCTGACTAGGGTGGGGAAGGGCCCATACCTGACCAGGGGAGCCCACTGACAGGGCCAAACGCTGTGCCTGCAGGCCGCCCTGGCCGAGAGCAGCTTCCCCCTCCTCAACAGCCCTGGCATGCTGAACCCTGGCTCCGCCAGCAGCCTCCTGCCCCTCAGCCATGACGACGTGGGTGCCCCCGTGGAGCCGTTGCCCAGCAATGGCAGCAGCAGCCCCCCTCGCCTCTCCCCACCCCAGTACAGGTGAGCCCGCCGCCCCATCTTGTCACTCTCCACAGCCCGCTCCCAGCACCCAGGCCCTCTCCTGTCTTTCCCTTACCTCACCTCTCCCCTCCCTTCCTATGCTCTCCCTGCCCTTTTTTTTTTTACTTCCCCCATCTTCCTGTCCCCTTTTTTCCTTCTCTGCCCCCCCCCTTCTTTCCCACTAGAGACTACCTCTACCCATCCCAAAGTCCCCCTTCTTTGAAGAAAGCCCTCGGGAGATCAGACCCAAGACATGGCAAGCCCCAGTGGCTCTGGGGTGATGGCTCCTAGAAAGGCGAGCCATGGCTATCCTACTGTGCCCCCAAAATTCTAGCTAGGTTGTGGGGGACAGGGGAAAGCCCCCAGAGCACCCACACCATCCTTCTGTCACAGCCACCAGGTACAGGTGAAAGAGGAGCCCGCTGAGGCGGAGGAAGACAGGCGGCCAGGCCCCTCCCTGGGCCCCCCCAACCCGAGCACCACGGGGCCTCCAGAAGACAGGGAGCTGGAGGACGACCTGCCTGGAGAGGAACTGTCCTAAGGGCCTCTAGGGGCTGGCAGGGCTGGGGTGAGACCCCGCCTTCAGGATCCCAGGCCCCACCTACCCCCCCACTCCACAGTCCTGTCCAAACCTCAAGGCACTTCTAGGACTCTGATAGGGGGCTGGGCCAGCAACTCCTAATGTGACCTGACTGACAGGCCTGGGGGGGTGGGGTGGGGAGGGCCTCACCCCTGAGGGGACACTGAATGCCTGGTCTGGGACTGATGTGAGGACTTGGAGGGGCCCAGACCCCTCCGCAGACCCTCCCCTACATCTGAATAGCCTTCCCCCAACCACCAGCAGCAGCACCGGGCCCTCCTCCCCTACCAGCTCTCCCCGACAGGGCCCCTCAGCACCATGGAGACCCGCAGGCGGGGCTAAGCCACCCCTCTCAAACCCTGGGCCCCTCGCACCTGGCCCTGGCTGTGTTTTCTGGCCAGAGGCCCCCCCTTCCCTAATTTGTGCTCCCTTCCACCTTCTTTTCCGTACTGTGAAGAAATAACTCCACCCCACCCCCCACCCCAAGCCCCTACCCCTGCCCCGGCCTCGTTGGGGGAACTGAAGTTTCAAACCATCCCCTGAAGAAAACAGGCCTGATGGCTGTGCCCACCCAAACTCACAGCTGGGGTGGGACAGATGGCGTGCCCTGGGGGGCCCTGTGGGAGTAGGGCCAGGCCTCAGCCCCTCTCCACCTGAGCCAGGACCCAGGCTACACCAGGCCTCCATCTTCACTTGCTGGGGCCCCCCAGCTGCCCCCACACCAGGGAGCACAGGAAGAGCCTGGCACACCCTCCTCCACAGAGAGGCCTGTGCCAGGTAGACTTTGGAGGTGGAGCCGCTGAAGGCTGAAATTGGGGCCCGAGGTGTTGCCAGGAGGAAGCAGCTGCCTCGGTTGCCCAGAAGAGCCAGGCTGACTCTGGGCTTGAGGATCAGGGGGGATTAATGTGGTGGCCGCTGTGACCCAGCAGGCCACCCCTGCCCCCAGCCTACAGGTCCCCCGTCTCCTTCCCTCAGCACCCCCTCCCTGTCACCCCAGTTAAACGGATGACCAAAGACCTTTCTTATGCCGGAAGCAAAAACCAAAACTTTTTGTTGGCTTTTTCCTTTGTCGCCTCCCTCACCCCTTGCTCTTCCTGTCCCCCACCCCACCCCCAGGCTGGAAGCCCTCCCTCCACTTAAGTTATTGTTTTAAACCAAAGTTTACAGTGTCTGTTGGTGGCCAAGACCCTCTCTCTCCACCCCTCCTCCACCCCACCCTGAGGACCCTGGGACTCAGTAGAGACTGGGGGCCCTCCTCCTCTCCCCCTCAGCTCTTGCCTAGCCAGAGGGAAGGAAGGAGGGCAGATGGATGGAGGGGGCAGCACCCCACAGCAGTGGGCCTGTAAGCCCAAGAGCCCACCCTGGGCTGCTTCCTGGGGGCTCTCCAGACCCCTCTCTAGGACCAAGTCCCCCATCATGCTGGGAGTTGGATTCCAGCAACAAGCTGGAAAAAAAAAAGAGACTCCACAGACCCCCTATGGGGGACCCCAATTTGAGGGCAAGGACTGGGTGTGTTGGCTACTCAGGACACCCAGACCAGGTCCCTTTGCTGAGAAGACTCCTTGGACTGTTTCCCGAGAAGCCCCACATGCACCCCTTCACAAGCCACCCCTCCCAGAGGCGGGGGCCCCCTGCCCCCTCCCCATGTACTCCCCACCCGTGTTCCGTCTGACCAGCACAGAAATATTAAACGTCCTCTATTCACTGGGCCCTGCGTGTGTCAGCAAGTGGTGGAGGGCGGGTTGGGGTGAGTGGAAAGTTTGCTCTGGGGAGCAGGGGCCAGGAAGCAGCACCTGGACACCGTGGGGCTGGGGTGTTCCTCGGGTGCTTTGCTTTTAGGTATGGGCGGATGGCTTGGACACCCGAGGGCTTGTGCTGGGCAGCCTACAGCCTCCGCGTCTGGTCCTTCCAGTGGTTCCTCTCTGCCCCCCATTCCCCTTCCGTCCTTCATCTTGGCACTCTCTGGTATGTTGCTTCAAACTGGGTCTCTCCATTCTGTCTTCTCCCGAAGTCACCGCTCCTTGCCCCAGTTCCTTTTGGCTCTGGGATCCAGGTTCCTGCCAGGGTTTTCAGCAGAGTAGATTTCCTCCAAACATGGAGAAGATTCCTGCTGCCAGGACCTTCTACCTGGGCCTTCACCGGTGCAGATGTCCACTCTCAGCCCCAGGCCCTTTGGGGCCAACATCCGTGTCCTGTGGAGTCTACCTGGTTAGGCCTGTGTGCATGCATGTATTGGGGGAGAGTATGAGGAAAAGAGGAAGGTCTTGAGAAAACAGAACTTGAAGTCACCTCAAAATCACCTTTCCTTTACACTCCACAGACTTTCCTGTAACCAAGTTTGGGGGTAAGTAGGGTTGGAAGGGGTTAAGATGCAGAGGTTGAAGCTCCCTTCACTGTTTTCTCCATCTCAGTCCTGTCTTTCTATTCCTTTGACCATTGTTTTCTCTCACTCTCCCTCTTACCCATGCCACCTCCTCCCCCTGCCCGCATCCTTTGGACACAGGGGTGCCTGGTGTGAATTCCCTGTATACCTGGAGGGGGGCAGCCAGGGCGGGCCAGGGGTGCTCAGTCTGGAGTCTCAAGGCACCACCAGCCCCTCTAAAGGAGTCGCACTGCTGTGTATTATGAACTGCCCCTCCGTCCGCGGAGGCCGCCAGGCCCTGTAATAGGACTAGCTGCATGTAATCTGTGTGGACGGCATTCTCTACAATGCAATAAAACAGTTCTCCACAAATCCACTGTGGCCTCTTCCCCTGCCCCTTCTTACCCTCCGGGACCCACCAGCCTCCTAGGAAGCCCCCCAGAATGCAGAGGCGCTGGTGGTCCAGCTCCCAGCCCCCGACCCCAGCCCTTGAAGACCATCTGTTCCTAAAGCTGGCCCCAGTGGCCCCTTCCCACCCTAGGGATTACAGGGGTGAGACCACACCCGGCCTCACCCCAGGACCATCCAGGCAACCCAACTTCAGTTCCTCCTGCTTCGAATATGTCTTTGAAAAGCCCTCCCACTGGGGTACGGTGAATGTCAGGTCGGCGTGTTTGGCCGTGGGTGATTGCTCAGGCACCGCAGAGGAGCGGCCTTGCAGTCTGAGAAACGGCACGGCTGTGGACCACCACCCTCTGAGTACTGGGCTGGCAGATCTCATGGGGAGAGGGGGTCCTCTGTTGCTGCCTTTTAAGTAAGAACCAGCTCTGCACCCCATCACACGTTGCTGTCAGGAAGTTCTGCGTGCTGTCTGGTCTCCCCTTCTGTCATTGCAGCTGTTGGGGCAGCTTGTTCTGGGCTTAGCACTTCTGCCCTGATGGAGAAAAGCTATCTTTGGAAACTATTCTCAGGTAGCAAAAAATAAAGGGGGGGGGCGCTCTGCCATTTGAAGATGGGAAGTCAGCACTGCCAGGAGAGCCCCCTGTGCTCACATTCCTAAAGCTCTTCGCTTGCCATCTAGGGGTCACCCTTGTCTGAGGACTTCCTCGTGGCCAGTAGAGGGCGCTTTAGCAGAGTGGACCTTCAGAGGTGTGGGCAGGAGGGACTCTGATTCCTGTGGGAACACAGCCCCCTGTCCAGAGATCAGTCTCTAGAGCAGGACGGGAAGGGGTTCATTCTGCTGTCTGGGAGCTTCCCAGACCCCTTGACTTCTCACCTAAGAAACATCCTGGACAAAAACAGCAAGCAGGACAGAAGAAGAAAGAGACCTGGGCTGGCACGAGGAATATGTATCGGTAATAATTACGAACGTAATGAACTCTCCCACACACCAGACACTACTGCGGAAGCTTTATGTTCATGTAATCCTCACAACTCTTGAGTTAGAAGTGCTGCTTACACCATTTTATAGATGGAGAAACAGACACGGAGGACAGCAGTAAGCAGATGAAACGTTAAGAATAAGCAGCCTGGCTTACCCAGGGGACAGCAGGAGACTTGCTGGCTTAGTGGCTTCCTAGTAAAACTACTTTGACGCCCCCGTCCTCCCTGGAGACACCCAGGGGGAAACTGAGGTACACAGTGCCCCAAAGCCAGGAATTAGGCACTGGTCTCAGAGTTCCCCAGCAGCCGGCTGTTCTTTTCTAAGCAGAATGAAGTACGTTGGAAATAGCTACCAAAAGACAGAAGAAACAGGAGAAAGAAGTCTGAAACACCCTATCAAAATAATCAGACAGGAGCCTTCTAACAGAACAGGGAGTCAGCGAGAAGACAAAGAAGCCTTTGTGTGGGTGGGGAATTACGGTGGCCACACATAGCACGCACAGGGGCACGCAGACAGCCCCCGCTCCCACCCCTGCAGTACACACCTGATGCGGCTGCCACTTGGGCGGGGGGGTGGACACCCAGAGGTCCCTTCCATCTTGAAAGCCATTAGTTAGCCTGTGGACATCGGGCAAGGGACTCCTGCCACAGGGCTGTCACGTGGCTTCCCATCACACATACTGGGGACCCCATGCCTGCCGTCTGCCTCCACCCCAGGATCAAAAGTTTAGAAAAACAGCCCCTCTTCAGGAGGTGTCAGGGTAGCAGCCTGGCTGAAAGGCCCTCTGTCCTAGGCAGCAGGGCCGAGGCGGGCGGAGGGCGGCCCCTTTCAAAGATGGGCTGGTGGAGTCCGCGTGGGCATGCAGGCACTGGGAGCTTCCAGCCGGTGGGCTGTGGGGGGCTGTGCCACAGCATTTCAGACCTGGAACCCGGGCGCTGCAGCAGCCCCACACAGGTAGTGACTGGCTGCGAGGGGGAAACAGCCCAGCTAGGCTGAAATCCTGCCTCTGCCACCAGCCAGCTCTGTGGCCTTGGGAAGGCTTCTCAACCTCTCTGGACTTCCTTTTCCTTTTCTGTACACTAGGGTGGGGTGATCATCACTGATGGACAAGATTAGTGACATGGAAAGATGTCAGCACATTATAGCTGTTGATAAAATGCAGTCTTGGATGTTGGTTACCATTGCGGGTCTGGGGGCCGGAGTGCTTCTGGAGGGCTTTCTGGAAGAGAGGTTGAAGCTGGGGAGGGGAAGCTGGGGTAGGGAGGGGGAGATGAGAGAAGAGCGAGCTCTGCAGAGCAGCCGGGTTAGAGTTTGGGGAAGGTGCCTGGATGAAGACAGGGAGGCAAGAGGGCCACCGAAGCAATGCCCGCTGTCACTGCCAGCCCACATTTACACCCTCAGCCCTCCTGGGCAGCTGGATTTCAGAGCACTTCCCTACCTTTAACGGGTGCTAAGGACCCTTGACTATAGGAAGATGGTGGGGCCCATGCACAGGAACCATGCACCCCAGGCCTACACTCGCTCGCTGCCCAGGAAGCCCAGGCGCGGCTGACCCGTGTGGACTGTGTCACTGAGTTGTTTACGCCCAGAGGGGCAGTCTTGTACTTAAATAAACAGCAAGCGACTCCATGGGCTATGTGTCAAGTGGGAGTTCCCAAGGGTACTGGCTATGGCCTTCAGCAGTGTTCCTAAGGGGCTTCTGGAGAAGATGAGGCTTGGGAGGAGCCTTGGAGGAAAGAGAAGACCGAGGGGAGTGAGGAGCAGTAAAGGAGGAGGCAGGACACGACTGGGGGACTTCTGGGGGAAAGAGGGGGGCCAGAGAGGCTGCCAATGTCCAGAGAGGTCAAATGTCAGAGGGCACAGGGCCGCAGAAGTGGGAACCAGACAGACTGTGGAGGGTCCCCAAAGCAGTGATGGCACCTTTTAATGTCTTGCAGCAGAGAAAAGGAGTGGACAAGAGTTACTGGTATGTGCAGGGGATATTGAGCTCCCCCACCCAAAAATAAAGCAAGTGGGAAAAAGATAAACAGCATTGCCATCGTATAAGGCTGCAAGCACACACCACAGTGTCCTCTCGTGCGGAAGGGCACACAGACACCAGACATTTAAGAATTCACAGGGGTGTAAGTAGCAAGCTTGGGTCTCAGTCACCGTTGGGGGAGGGGTTGTCAAGTGCTTCAAGCCTGTGGATGACGCTACATGTGACTCTTGGCGCTGCATGCTGGAAAAACTTCAGTCCGTTCTACTGACCTGCTACCTTTTTGTGTGGCTGGAATATTCCATTTCAGAACGAAGAAGGAATCAGTCCATGGTTGGGGCTGTCTCATAGGATAAATTCTCATCCTCCACTCTCTTGGGTCTCAGGGCAAAGCCTAGGTCAAATGTTAGACTGGGCTTGCAAGGGAGCAGGGCATCAATTGTCTGGCCACAGGGCTGGACATATGGACGTCAGTGAAACACATCTGGTCTTGGAGCCAGGGGCACGGCAGGAAAGGAAGCTGGAAATAGCAGAGGGTCTTCAGTGATGGGCCAGTCCGGCCCAGGGCCTGCAGTTCTGGAAACAAAAGTGAGGAGTGAAGGAGTAGTGTGTGGAGTGGAAATGGGAGCTTAGGTGTTATCTCCTGAGATGGGTTTAGCAGCAAAGAAAGAAGAGGTGAGAGAGACAGCCATGGGATATCAAGAAAAGGTTTGATTGCCACCTGCCTGGTGGCACACAGAGGTAAGTCTCAGCACTATGACGCTATCGCTAGCTGCTTCAGCACGATTTTGACCCTGGGCCAGGGAGCTGACCAACATCCTGACCTCTCCTGACCTGAAGAAGTGGCTCTGGCCCTCACCCTGGAGACCTTCCCCTACCTTCCTGTCCCTCCAGGCTACCCCTCCCACCACATGGTTTCTCTCTTCCCACCATCTTTCGCTTCCTCTTCCTCCTCTTGCTTCCAGCTTCCCAAAGACTTGTCCCAGTCAACTATCCCTAGAAGCCCTGTCACACCTGTACCCCTCACTGCCGGCCAGGTCTGCCCCTTGCCCAGCAGGGTTTCCTGGTGTTCTGCCGCAGAGTCACCCAATCTCACCCGGTGATGTCCCCCCACTCTGGAGAAGGCTTTACTGAGCACTTATCCTGTGTCCCAGCCGGTGGGGACTCAGGAATGCAGAGAGTCACAGAGGGCACAGGTCCTGCCCTCAGGGGCAGGCAGAATCCTTGGGGAGGGACACTGACAAGTAAAGGAAGTAAAATCGTAAGTCAGGGTTAGGCAACCACAGAAGAACATACTCTCCCTTTCTCTGTAATTCAACATTGTAAAAAAAGTCCCCCTTAAAGTTAGACAAAGTGAGTTTTTTTTTTTTCAGTGATGTCCTTTTATTTATTTATTTTAAAATAATATAATAGTTTTTTTTACATATTTTTGGGCATTTTTCCAACTCAGTTGTAGTCCCCGTGGGCTTCCCACCACCATATCACCCTGTGCCATCACCATAGACCAGTGCATTTCCCTCCCCCCACTGTTTTTGATCCCATTCCCACTCTACCCCCACAAAATGTCTCTGGTATATAGCTGTTCATCATTATCATTATTTTCTCACCTGTTCCATTATGCTCCTGCTATGAGTGAAACCATCCGGTATTTTTCCTTTTCTTTCTGGCTTATTTCACTAAGCATGATCTTTTCCAGTTTCATCCATGTTGCTGCAAAAGGCATGTGTTCACTTTTTTTGGTTGCTGAGTAATATTCCGTGTGTATATATACCACATCTTTTTAATCCAGTCATCTTTTTTTGGGCATTTGGGCTGTTTCCATGTCTTTCCAATTGTAAATAAAGCAGCGATAAACATGGGGGTGCACGTATCTTTTTGAGTCAGTGTTTTTGTGTCTTTTGGGTAGATACCTAGGAGTGGGGTTGCTGGGTCATAGGGAAGCTCCATGTTTAGCAGTTTGAGGAAACTCCAAACAGTTTTCCATAGTGGTTGTACTAGT